GACAGACTCTGTGCCCTCCCACATCCTCCCAGGATCGAACACCACGTGCAGGGGGCAATCCTTCCCAGCCCGCGGATGGCCGTGTGTGTACGTGGGGCTTCACAGGACAGGAGTGACCAGCACTGCCTGCCCGTAAGGCTGGCTAGTGCTGCCCAGTATGAAAGCCTCATTTTCAGTAGCTTATTGATCTTCTAAGCTCTTATCGCTAAGCCTGAAATTCCTATTGCTGGATATTTCCCTTAAGGATAATTTTTTTTCCTTTCTCTTCCCCTCGGTGATATTTCAGAATAACGATCCATCCACTCCCAATAATGCGGTCCAGAGAAAACTCCCACATTTTACCCCTAATAAAAATCTTCACAAAACCCTTTCACCAAGCAGCATCAGCCCTCCCCACTCTCAGCAAGGGCCCAGCAGCAGCAGCCGCCAGGGCGCTACGGCTTTGCTGCGACGGGGGATTCCCCTCTGAGCCAGTTGCTCCACGCAGCTCTTGGCTTGCTCAGGGAGTTTTCATTCCGGTGCTGGCTAGCTCCTGAGCTCCTGACTCGGCAGGACTACGGCCATGGGTATTATGAATAATAACACCGTGTATAATAATATAGTAGCAGGTAGTGGGAATACATCCTGAAGCAGAAAAGAGCAATTGGAGGGCTCTTCATCACCTAGCAGGGGTGACAGTCCTCCAGTAACAGCCGCCCAGCTGAAGGCGCCTCGCTGGTGTTGGGGTCTGTTATTCATTACAGCTCAGCAACAGGACTATAACTACACACCGCTCAACTCAGTAGTAAATCAGGCTCAACCTTCGCCACCCAGCCAGAACTCCTTTTTCATCCCCTCCAACACGTCATATCCCTGCTCTTTGTCCTGACACCTTAAAATAAAGAGCAAAGGGAAGAGGGGAATTTGACACTGTCAGCAGCACTTCTGCGTCTCATCAGCGGTTGTCTGGTGTCTACTCATTCCTCAGCACAAATCACATCTCTGTACACATCCATCCAGTGGCGCCGGCAGGAGCTCGAGCCGGCCTGCATCTCTCCATCTCCAGCCCCTCCTCTTACGCACAAACAGAAGCAGTCACGTCGCACGGTGCCGAAATGCCTGGGACGGCTGAGCTGCCTCGGAGCCTTCGCGAGGCAAACGGATTGCTCTGATTACACGGAGCACCATGAGGCTCAGTGCAGCGAGTGACGGTCCATCATTTTGCAGATGAAAATGCCCATTTCAGTCCTCCTCCTTCTTTAAGGGAGGCAGCTGAACCATCTCCTGGTACTCTACCTGGAGGTAAGATTTATCCCCCCAATACCATTTTGCATCCTACAGAGCCAGGCAGGAGCCTTCGAGATCTCGTTCATACCCAGGACATACCACGAGGTGCTGGAAACCAGTATCACCCCACAGATGCCACTGAAGCAATACCTATCTGTACCTCCTGGGAAAAACATGGTGACGTGGCTGGGAAATGCAAGTTAAGGTTTATTTAGTTTTCAACAGAAAAGTGCAAATACAGGAAAAGAAACAATGTGGAAAAGTTCCTGCAGTTCTTCCCTTCTTCAACGCAAAGCCCTCTGATGGAAATAGCACAGTGAAATTAAGCTCATTTGTTTCCAAATTGAAATCCCAAGACTCTTCCATATCTGAAAAGCGTCACAGATGCTTTTTGGATGGCTGCTTTGCCTCGTCAATAGAAAAGCAGCGAGTACGAAGGGAGGAAGACATTTTTCTAAGCAGAATTCACAAGGGGCTCCAGCACATTGACTCTGCAAAGACTGGGCACAGGCTCGCTAAATCCTCAACTCTCAGAGGGATGAGCTGAAAGCCAGGGACACTGATTTTAGTGCCAACAAACTTTTGTCTCTTAGTGCTCTACACACAATGCCCAAGCTGTCCTGGAACCCCTCCGCGCAGCCCAGTGCTCTCCTTCCCAAACACCCAGCACCGCGTGCATGGGCTCAGCTTGCAGCACTAATGCTGTACGCTGCAGGACAGTGAGGGGCTGCAGGGGTGAACTGGAACACAACGAAGGAGAACCAAGCTGAGGATGCAAGGGATCAGTCACCAAAGCCCATTTGCTTGCCAGTTCCCTTACACTGGGTAAACGTAACATACTTAATTTCCCATGGTGAAAACGCTTTGCTTCAGTCTCACTGTAAGAAAAGGCAAATGGGGGCCACCCTGAGCCAGGGGAAATTGTGAACCTCAGGTGAAAGGCACAGATGAAATGGGTGATTGGTTTAATTACAACCTCATTTCCTCAATCACAAGTTCAAAAGTAGATGGCATTGGGTTTTCATTACGAGGACTGCTTGAAGAATCTCAACCTCAGCATTTTTCAGTGAGAGGTAAGGAAAAAAAGTCAGAAAATTACCTTTAAGTTAATACAAACCAAAGGTAATTATCAGATCCAGCAGAAAATGCTCAGAAGTATCAATAGTTATTGACAGGTGCTGCTCCTCTATTAGACACAGCACTCAGACACACTGCATCTCGTTCCCCCATCACCCGAGGACAAAGCCAGTCCTCAGCTCTCCGCAGCCCATCCCACGTCCTGCTGCAGCACCCCCGCGTCACAGCCCCACGTACCTCACAAATGTCCTTGAGGTGCTTGATGTAGTGGCGCTCCGTGCTCATGATTTCGTTGATGACATTGGCTCTCATCTGGTCTCGGTTCTGCACGGTCCTGCCAAGACAGAGGCAGTCGGCACTCGGATCCAAATGGCCATTCTGCACGTCGCTGGTTCCCTCCTCCACTCCATCTTCTTGGTTTACCCACAGCTACGAGGAGAAGAGGGGAGAGCAACAGTCATTCAGAAAAGCAGCAGGAACCCAGTGAGTGCACGTAGGCTGGGGTTGGGGTTGCACGATGCTGGGAGACACTGGACCGCCTCCCTCCTCCCAGCAACGGCGATGCTCTGGCCAGCGACGCGCCGTGGTGTCCACAAGGCTGCCAGCCCACACAAACCATGCTTCTACTGGTGCAACCAGCCCCAAAGGGTTCCCCGCACACTGCCACCTTCCTCTCGGAAGCACAGGGATTTCAAGTGTTGACAGTTTTGATCCCAAATACAAAATAATCATACAAAGGGGGAACCGGACTGCTGGATGCTGCCAAGTGCTCGGAGCCAAGAGGAACGGTGGTACAAAGACAAAAGACATTGATGTGGGAATTGAGTGCACCCT